CGACAAGATGGAAATATACATAATCTTAGGTCAGCAAACAGACAAAATGTATTAAGTATTGTATAATTTTTATATGTATTTATAGAGAGAAAGAATTGAATGTAAGAAGAGAAATAATTTGATAGAAATGTTCAAACTGGAAAGTTACGTCATGTCCAATGTTTTCTTTTTTTAATTGTATTATAAATAAAAAAAATTAAAAAAATTAAAAAAAAAATGAAGTCCTGCATGAGCACTTGTACAAGGGGTGTATGTGGATGATGTCCAAGGAGGACAATATGAAGTTGGTTAGGGCAGTGCTTGAGAAAGTGCAGAAGGCTCAGCTTTTTAGGAAACTGTACAAGTGTGATTTCCATAAGAGTAGCTTGGATTACCTAGGTTACCAAATCTAGAAGGAAGCATAGAAATGGATCCTGGGAAAGTCTGAGTGATCCTAGAGTAAGAGCCTCTGTGAACAATAAGACAACTATAAAGTTTTCTTGGCTTGGCTAACTTCTATCATCAGTTCATCCCCATGTTTGCTCAGATAGCCCTACTGATCACGAACTTGTTGAAAATGAAAGGGGAAGCTAAGCCTAGGCCCAGCCAACCCTTAAGCTGGTCACTGGAGAGCCAAGCCAAGAAGTTCAAATGTCTTTTTGCTGCTGAACCAGTCCTAAAACACCCTGACTCAGATGAGCCCTTTGTAATACAAGTGGATGCCAGTGATGTGGCCATGGGGGCAGTGCTACTTAAGAATGCAAAGGAAGAATTACAGCCATGCACCTACATCTCACACAAGCTGAGACTGAGAGATGATGGGCTATTTGGGAAAATGAGATCCTTATTTGGAGGTAATTCCTGGACGGCAGTAAAAGCCCCTTCGAGATGTGAACAGACCACAAAAACCTAGAAGCATTGAAGGCTCCCTGAAAGTTGTCTCCCAAACAGTCCACTAGGCCCAATACTTCAATTGATTCAACTTCACCCTCTGCCTATCAGGAGGGCAAAATTTCTTGGCAGACGCTCTCTCCTGGATGCCAATATAACAGTGCTCAAGAGGAGATCATCAACTCCATCCTCCCCTCCAAGCAAATTGCAGCATCAGCCCTCATGAGACAGCAGGAAGCATCATCAACATTGACCAAGGACCTGATGCGGCCACTAAAAGAAGCCCTGGCAGGGCATAAGTGGCTACAGCAACACAAGAGTGAGCTGTCATTAAGAGACAGACTGGCATGGCTGGGGAGCAAGCTATACGTCCCAGCAAGCCAGAAGACTTTAGTATTGCAGCAAAGCCATGATGCGAAGGCAGCAGGGCATTTTGGATTTGTGAAGACCTTTCACCTTGTAAAGAGACAGTTTTGGTGCCATGAATGAAGAATGACATAGAAGCCTACATAGCCAGCTGTCCTATGTGTGCTTCAGCGAAGAGGCTGCCCAGCAAACCTCCAAGGCTATTATAGGCGGTAACCAGCCCCACAGCTCCCTAGAGGGAGGTATCTATGGACTTTATTGTGGAGCTGCCGGAGAGTGCTGGGAACACTGTGATCTGGTCATTACAGTTCCTATGCAAGCCCACTTTGTGGCATGCCCTAGGACCCCCCTCTGTCCGGACTTTGACTAAGCTCATTGTACAACACGTGTACTGGCTGCATGGGATTCCAAAATGCATAATCTCAGATCAGATCAAAGTTTTGGCAAGAATTCCTGAGGTTGCTAGGCTCCTGCCATGGCCTTAGTTCTACCCATCATCCACAAATGAACGGAGCTTGTGAATGTAAAATGCAGTCCTGGAGCAATACTCTCGATACTACGTGAACTAGTAGCAGACTAATTGGACCAAGTTTCTGCTTTTCACTGATGTGGCATACAATAACTCTGTGCACAGTAGCATCGGGTTTATCCCCTTTCAACTGGGCTGGAATTTGTGCCTGTGCCAGAGGTTTGTCAAGAGTCTCCATCAACCTGCTTGACTGAATGGATGAGTACAGTAAAAGCTATCTGGCCTGTAGTGTGCAAAGCTCTAGAGCAGTGGTTCTCAACCTGTGGGTCGGGACCCCATTTGGAGTCGAACGGCCATTTCACGGGGGTCGCCAAACAACGCAGTCCGCCATTTTTTTCTCCCTTTTCCTTAGCTGTACTACTCCCTTTTATTCTATTGGCTTTTGAAAGCCAATAGAATTAGATTCTATTCTAATTGAGTCTTGAATAAAGTCTAATTCTATTGGCTTTCAAAAGCCAATAGAAATTGTCCAGGCTGTCTCTGCCCTGCTGAGCCCGCCAAAAGTCCCATTCTGCAAATGGTGCTACAAGTTGTCTGTAGCGAAGGCGAGCTGTCTGGAAGTTTCCACCCCTCCCTGCTGAGCAACTACTAAAAATGTAAGTAAAAGAGGGCCAGGGGTGGGAGGTGGGAGGCCGGCAGGCGCAGGGAGGGTTGCTGGCATGCTTGGGGCCCGGTGGGTGCCTTACCTCCCTTGGGCTGGGCCAGCTGGTGGCCCAGCCGGTGATCGGCCTGCGCCATCTCTGCCACTTGCCAGCAAAGCCTCGGCCGGCGCAGGGAGTGGCACCACGCATGCGTGGCGTTCCCGGGCAGGGAAAGTCCTCGACTTAAGACCGGTTGGGTAGTCCTCGACTTATGACCGGTTGGAGTCATGGCATTAAAAAGGTTGAGAACCACTGCTCTAGAGGAAGTAAGAAGAGACAGGCTGACAAGGAGAGCACTTCAGAGGGAGTTTAGGATAGGGGAGGAGGTGTACCTGTCCTCGAAATTCCTGCAGTTGGGGCAGCCCTGCAAGAAGTTGGGCCTTAAGAACCTAGGTCCTTTCCCTATTATCCAGATTGTAAATCCAGTGTCAGTGGAATTACAATTACCCAAATATCTCAGGCATATTCACCCAGTGTTTCACTATAGTTTGTGGAAGCCCTTTTGTACGTCCCCTTTAAGGCTGGCCATTAAGCCGCCTCCCCCCTCCCCATATGGGTAAGTGGAGAGAAGCATTTTGAGGTCAAGGAAATGCTTGACTCTGGGTACCACAAGAGGTTGTATTTGGTTTTGTGGAAAGGGTTTCCTTTAGCGAGGCAGAAGGGAATGTCCATGCTCCCTGCTTACTCAAAGGTTCAATGCCAAATACCCAAATCGACCCCAATAGAATGTTTGTGCATAAAGACTAGTGTAGGAATAATGTTTGTATTTGTCTCTTTGTAGGATTAATCTTTTTTTGGAGGGTCATAAATGACTCGCTATACAGCCTGCTCACAACCTGACAACAATAATGGGAGGGGGGAGGGAAGGCATCAGAATGTGAGGGTGGTTTGGGAGGGAAACTCTAGAATGCAAGTGTGCCATCTGGAAGCCTCAGGCCGTTACACTCCCAAGATCATCAGGCCTGGGAACATCGGAGGCAAACAGATCGTTCTCAAAACAACCCAGGTGCAACCGATTGGTGGACAAAGAACAATGGGAGGTCCAAGGGAAAAGGGGGAATTTATCTTACGTTTTTCACATGCAAAATTTTAGAACTGCCTTTTCCACTTCTGTACCCACATGGCTTTTCAGTAAAGTATAGTCTTGGAGAAAAAAAGTCTCAAGAGTTTTTTTGCTGGCTAGCATAGTGGGACAGTTGACAAGTTCTTTCAAAACCAGAATATTTTCTCACTGGTCATCTGACTACCTTCAAGACATGGCTGATTTTTTAGCATTAATTTTTGAGCTATGAATCCATATGCAAAAATGTGATAGTTTTCATTGCTACTAACACAGTAATACTTTGAGTTAAGAATTACTATGAAATAAAATTGTACCTTGATTCCATTGTGCTAGAATTGTGTTGATTCCAAACACATAAAAACTAGTTGCTTTTCCATTTTATTGTATTTATTTATCAAATTAATATAGCCTGCCATCTCATAGGAAGTTACTCTGTTCATGGTTTATATAGGACAACTGCATTTCTAGGGTAGATTAAAATCACAGGATTCATTTGTCTTAGAACTCATTAATAGAGGTTTGCTTGGAATCCTCCAAGGAAATATTCATAATCAAGCTGCTTTGCTTTTTTATGAAGTTCTTAATCATCAGTGCCATCTTTGGTAATTTCTGAGTGGATTGTTGTACAGACTGAACGAAGATTCACATGAGAAATTAATACCATGGTGAAATTTGTCTTCCAATTTTCCCTCTTGCGTACAACAGCCTTCTGTTTTTGTTTCATTCTCAGGGCACTTTCACATTTAACAGAAGTGTTAGAAGAGTTGGGTGCCATTAACTCAACTCAAATAAATATATAATAGAAAGCAGGAGGAGCTTATAATATAACAAATTATTTGTTATAATAATTAAATATCATTCTTGTGGCTCTACTGATTTTTACACAAAGTCTGTGCCACTTTGAACAAATCAACATGTTCCTTAAAATTGAATCTTTTAAAGCTTGCATTTCATGATTTCCCCCAAACAAGCAGTTGCATAACATGAAGTGATAGTAGAGAACTATTTTTCATTCCCTTTTCAGTACTATCTAAAAAATGGTATAACAGATCATGAGGGTATTTTAGAAGCTATCTGTAGCAGCCTGGCACATTCAGCTGCAACCCAGGAAGTCTGAACTCGCACATCTGAAGCCCATGATCAGCAAGCCTTTTGTGATACCACTTCCCAATTTCATTAGTGGGATATTGGATACTGTAACCAACCATTGGGAGAATAACCTTGGGAAAGAAAATGATAATATCAGTTTATATTTTCTATGGGAGGGGGGGGAACTCAGCATGTAAAATTCTATATATCAGAACAAAAGAAAATAGCAAATCTGAAGCCCAGAAAGGAAATAAACAGGGAGCAGGAACAGCAGTTGATTCATTCAGTGCTTTTCTCTGAATGGGTTTGATATTTAGACTAATTTTTAAAAAAATACCAGCATATTTTTCAACAATGCATTATACTGACAGAATTATTCCATGAAACTAAAACCCAGTATTAATCCAAAGCAATACAATTTGATTCTTTCAAGGAAACCTACTTGGTTTATTGTATATTTATTGTCCATTTCTTCTACAGCTGTTACCATATGGACCTATGGCATAAAAAGAAATTTTATATATATACAGTATACCATTTGTAATGGTCATTTGTCAATGGTCAAGCTAATTATTTTAACACAATCTACATAGGGCTGCTCTTGAAGATCACCCAAAAGCTACAACTGGCCCAAAATGCAGTAATATCTACAGTGTTGGGCATCTCTAGGTTTCCCACATTACTTCCCTGTTGTGTGAACTGCACTGGTCCCAGTTCCTTTCTTGGTGCAACTCAAGGGTTGGTTACCACTTTAAAGCCCTACATGACACAGAGACAGAATATTTGTGGTCTTCTTTTCCCTGAAGGCATCTGCCCATTTCATTATACCAAATAAGATTGACATGCTCCAGGTCCCTTGCCTGAAACATTGTATCTAGGGGGCATAGAAAGTGCGCCTTTTCTCATGCTGCTCTACCTTATAGAATATACTCCCTCTGGCAATCTGCCAGGAATCCTTTCTCTTCTAGAAGGCAATTAAAACCTACCTTTACTCAGGCACTTAAGTAGAGTGATGGAGGCTGTGGACAGTTGTTGGGGATCCTAGGAGGTGGACTGAGGTGCAATATTTTTAGTTTATGAATACTGTGTCTTTCCCCTTTATGGATTACTGCCTTGTCATGGCGAAGGGGCTTGCGTAACTCAATGAAGCTATAAGCTATGCCGTGCAGGGTCACCCAAGACAGACAGGTCATAGCAGAGAGTTCTGACAAAATGTGATCCACTGGAGAAGGAAATGGCAAACCACTCCAGTATCTTTGCCATGAAAACCCCATGGACAGTACTAAAAGGCAAAAAGATACGACGTTGGAAGATGAGCCCCTCAGGTCGGAAGGTGTCCAATATGCTACTGGGGAAGAGCAGAGGGCTAGTACTAGTAGTGCCAAAAAGAATGAAGCGACTGGGCCAAAGCCGAAAGGATGCTCAGCTGTGGATATATCTGATGGTGAAAGGAAAATCCGATGCTGTAAAGACTTTTTCTCCATAGGAACCTGGAATGTAAGATCCATGAATCAAGGCAAGCTAGATGTAGTCAAAAAAGAGATGACAAGACTGAACATCGACATCTTAGGAATCAGCAAACTAAAATGGACAGGAATGAGTGAATTTAACTCAGATGACCATCAAGTATACTACTGTGGACAAGAATCCCTCAGAAGAAATGGACTAGCTTTCATAGTCAATAAAAGAATAGGAAAAGCAATACTGGGATACAATCCCCAAAATGACACAATGATCTCAATTCGAATCCAAGGTAAACCATTCAATATCACAATAGTCCAAATTTATGCCCCAACCACTGGTGCTGAAGAGGATGAAATTGACCGGTTCTATGAAGCCCTACAGCACCTTATAGAATTAACACCAAAAAATGATGTCCTTATCATCATGGGGGATTGGAATGCTAAGGTAGGAAGCCAAAAGATAACCGGAATAACAGGCAAGTTTGGCCTTGGAGTACAAAATGAAGCAGGGCACAGGCTGATAGAATTTTGTCAAGAGAATACGATGGTCATAACAAACACTCTTTTCCAACAACCCAAGAGACGGCTCTACACATGGACATCACCAGACGGTCAACATAGAAATCAGATTGACTACGTGCTCTGCAGCCAAAGATGGAGAAGCTCTATACAGTCAGTAAAAACAAGACCAGGAGCTGACTGTGGCTCAGATCATGAGCTTCTCGTTCCAAAATTTAGGCTTAAATTGAAAAAAGTAGGGAAAAGCACTAGGCCACTCAAGTATGAACTAAATCATATCCCTGATGAATATACAGTAGAGGTGACAAATAGATTTAAGGAATTAGATCTGATAGACAGAGTGCCTGAAGAACTATGGATGGAAGTTCGCAACATTGTACAAGAGGTAGCAACTAAAACCATCCCAAGAAAAAGAAATGCAAGAAAGCAAAATGGCTGTCTGAGGAAGCTTTGCAAATAGCTGAGGAAAGAAGGGAAGCGAAAGGCAAAGGAGAAAGAGAAAGATACACCCAATTGAATGCAGAATTCCAGAGAGTAGCTAGAAGAGATAAGAATGCCTTCTTAAATGAACAGTGCAAAGAAATAGAAGAAAACAACAGAATAAGGAGGACCAGAAATCTCTTCAAGAAAATTGGAGATATGAAGGGAACGTTTCATGCAAAGATGGGCATGATAAAGGACCAAAATGGCAGGGACCTAAAAGAGGCAGAAGAGATTAAGAAGAGATGGCAAAACTACACAGAAGAACTATACAAGAATGAACTTAATGTCCCAGATAACCACAATGAGATGGTCACTGACCTCGAACCAGACATCCTAGAATGTGAAGTGAAATGGGCCTTAGAAAATCTGAGCAACAACAAAGCTAGTGGAGGTGACAGTATTCCAGCTGAGCTATTCAAAATCTTAAAAGACGATGCAGTAAAAGTGCTACACTCAATTTGCCAGCAAATCTGGAAAACTCAACAGTGGCCACAGGATTGGAAAAGGTCAGTTTACATTCCAATTCCAAAGAAAGGCAATGCCAAAGAATGTTCAAACTATCGCACCATTGCACTCATTTCACATGCTAGTAAAGTTATGCTTAAAATCCTACAAGCTAGACTCCAGCAGTATGTGGATCGAGAACTACCAGAAGTACAGGCAGGATTTCGAAGAGGCAAAAGACATACCAGAAACAAAAATTAAAATAAGCAAGAAAATGATAAGGAAACACCTATCCAACCTTGACGAATATAAATCACCGGGACCCAACAGGCTACATCCCAGAGTTCTGAAAGAGCTGGCAGATGTTATCTTAGAACCATTGCACCACATCTTTCATAAATCCTGGAGCACCGGGGAAGTATCAAAGGATTGGAAAAGGGCTGATGTGGTCCCCATCTTCAAGAAAGGGGAAAAAAACGGACCCAGGAAACTATAAACCAATCAGTTTAACATCAATACCTGGGAAGATCCTAGAAAAGATAATCAAAAAACAGATCTGCAAACTAGAAGCAAACAATATCATTGTCATGGCCCACTTCAAAACCTCATCCTAAGAAAGCAAAACTCGCGGAAGCAGTTTCTTCCAAAAGGAATTTTATTAGGAGAAGTTGATAGCAGGCATAATAGACAGGATCTGAGGGTTTCCCGCTGAGATCAATAGGTATCCCAAGCAAATCCCACCCCAATAGTTTATCCGGTCAGTTCGAATGGGCGAATCCACAAGTGTGGGAAAGAGCTGATAACGCCAGGCTGTCTCAGGATTGCAGCGATGTTTTGTTGGGTCTTTGCACCTTCCCTTCCGAAAGTGGAGATAAACCAGTTGCCGAAGGTGCATTCCTTTCTCCTCCCCCCCTTCCAAGCTGACATCAAGGGGGAAGATAGTTCAAAGAGCGTGTATGCAGAAACAGCAAAAGTGTTACAGTGTAGTGATAGAAGAAAACAAAGAAATAGCCCGCAGAGTTTTCTCCCTCCCCTGCAGGAGCATGGCAGAATCCAGAAGTGTAGAAAGATTAGAGTTAGAATTAAAGTTAGAAAAAGCCCCCCTAGAATATGGGTTCTGACAGTCATAATTAGTAGCCAGCACGGATTTGTTAAAAACAGATCATGCCAAACCAATCTCATCTCATTTTTCGATAAAATGACTGAACTAGTAGACCAGCAAAACACATTGGATGTAGTATACCTAGATTTCAGTAAGGCATTTGACAAGGTAGTCCACAACCTACTCCTTGGTAAACTAGGAAAAGGTGGGATAGACAACATCACCATGAGATGGATCTGTAGCTGGCTAACAAACCGTACTCAACGAGTAGTCCTCAATGGCACTACATCCACATGGAGAGAAGTAAGCAGTGGCGTATCACAAGGTTCCATATTAGGCCCAGTACTCTTCAATATTTTCATCAATGACAAAATGATGAGGGAATTGAAGGGGAACTCATTGAGTTTGTAGATGACACCAAACTGGCAGGAGTAGCCAACACCCAAGAAGACAAACTCAGGATCCAAAAAGATCTTGACAAATTTGAACAATGGGCCTTATCTAACAAAATGTGTTTCAATGTGGAGAAAAGCAAAGTCTTACATTTAGGCAGGAAAAACCAAAGGCACAAATACAGATTGGGCGAGACCTGGCTTAAAAACAGTAACTGTGAGAGGGACCTTGGAGTCCTAGTGGACAATCACTTAACTATGAACCAGCAGTGTGCAGCAGCAACCAAAAAAGCTAATGCAGTCCTGGGTTATATAAACAGAGGCATAGAATCAAGATCACGTGAAGTACTATTACAGCTTTATAAAGCCCTAGTAAGACCACACCTGGAATACTGCAGCCAATTTTAGTCACCATATCACTAAAAAGATGTTGAGACTTTGGAAAAAATTCAGAGAAGAACAACTAAGATGATCAGGGGCCTGGAGACTAAAACATACGAAGAATGGCTATGGGGCTTGGGTTTGGCTAGTCTAAAGAAAAGAAGAAACAAGGGAAATATGATAGCAGTGTTCCAGTATCTGAGGGGCTGCCACAAGGCAGAAGGGGGCAGGTTGTTCACCAAAGCACCCGATGGAAGGATGACAAACAATGTTTGGAAACTGATCAAAGAGAGAAGCAACCTGGAACTAAGGAGAAACTTCCTGACAGTGAGGACAATGAACCAATGGAACAGCTTACTCCTAGAAATTGTGGGTGCTCCATCACTGGAGATTTTTAAGAAGAGATTAAATATTCACCTGTCTGAGATGGTATAGGTACTATAGCTCTATTCTATTCTTCTATTCTTCTTATACTATATTAGTCTTAATCTATAACTTTCAGGTCCCTACCGGAACATTGCCATTCCAAGGGTAGGAGGAGAGTTACTTTGTTACATTTCATCCCCTGCTAAAAGATTTCCACGGCCAAAGGGCTGGCAAAAATGTTCCTGCACGATGTTTATCTCCTGCAGGGAGTATCGCAACACATCATCTTAGACGGATCTAAGATATTTTGCCTCCTACCCTTGGCCTCATTTCCTTCTCTTTGAGC